ACCCATATAATGTTATTACTGGGTCTCTGTGCAATGCAGGCAGATTTTGACAGGTTGCTGTACATCACTTCATGGAAGCATCACAGCACCATGCCTCAGTGCTTCTCTCAAGAGTCCTCAGCCCTGATGCTGGCAGTAAGCTGGCTGTTGGGAGGAGGTATCCAAACATCAAAATGCCTTTACAGTTGGAGGTCAGTCTGGTGGAGTGGGCGTTCCTAGGCAGAATATATTTGGATGCAGGCCACCCTATGTAACACCCACATGTAATCCTGAGTCTCCATGATTCAAAGTCCTGAAATCAACTAATGAAAGAAGTGGGCCAGGGACAACAGTGCTGGATGGAAAGAGTTAGATGATGATGGGTGTCCTCCAGCCACACAACTAGGAGGGCGCTGTCTGATTTGCTTTATCTTCTAATGCAGTGGACTCCAAACTGTGGCCCGGGGGCCAGATGTGGCCCTTGGCTTGCCTTTGTTTAGCCCTTGCTGCACTACTTCACTGACTGACACCATCGATGGGGCACTATTCCTTCATTCAAACCAATGATGGGGCATTGTTTATGCCCACTGATGCCGGGGCATTTTCCACTCCCAATGGTCACAGTCTGGCCTCCCTAAAGTCTGAAGGACAGTAAACTGGCCCTTTGCTATCAACGTTTGGAGACCCCTGTTCTAATGCATACTGAGAGAAGCTCAGTTTGCAGTGACAGCAGTTTCCATACAGGAGAGGGAAGGCTGGAGCTCAGGTGTAAATACTAGGTTCCGAGGTGTTCGTCAACCAGAGAAACAGAACATTTGCTGCTAATGTGTACATATGTGTTTGAGGTGTTGCACAGCTGTCATGCTATAGTTACGCTACTAAAAGTTCATTTTGTGCCATCACCTTCCATTGCCTGTATAGCGTGCTATGCCCCTTGTTCAGTGTGCCGTCTTTTTTGGCCTCTTGTCATTCCGTTGTGCATCCCTTCAAACCCACGCTGCAGTTTATTGCTGAGAAGACAAGCACTGTTTGTTCAGTCCCTACATGGATTTTAATCCTGTTTGAGAGACGCCATTATCATGCTGAGAGGGTTGGTTTATGTTCTCATTCTGCTGACTTCACATTGTGGGCGAGCATGCACCCCTTCCCCCCCTTTCCCAATTTAATGCCAAGGTCTCTTCCTATGACTGTTTATAACAGATGTGTTAGTTGCAGTGCCTTGGCAGGTTTATGTTCTGTTTGCAGCACCAAAAAACACAATGTGTATCTGAACCCAAGAACATAATTTTCATATATTGCAGCTTACCGTCCTTAGATGTGCTACCTGCATTAGTTTTATTTAGTCAAGAGTCCTATTCCTTCATTTTTACCTGGTGATCCTGCCAGTATCACACTTTCTGTCCTATGGTGACAACTCCCACTTACTCTGCCATATCTATGGATGTGTAGTGTTGTTTTTCTAGGGTTGGCAAGTGTGTTAGGGCTTCAGAACACACCTTATCTTTATAACATTGGGGGGTGTTTTGTAGTCCTCAGAGAAAACATTTTGAGGAATCATGCACGGATTTTATTTTGCCCTGACATACACTTGAAAGAAACTTCATCAAGCCTGTATCGTGGCTACATGTAATGTAATGGCTACATAATTATTCCTTTTACTGACAGGTACATGTGCAGAAATTTGATTTCTTTTTTTTAATGATACTTTATGTGGACAGAGTCAGAGAAAACATATTGATATTAACCAGGAATAGAAAACTCCCTGTGATAAAATAGGAGTAATCTATGTCCTTGTATGAAGTATGCTGTTAATGCAGACCTTCAACTATTGAACTAAGCCCTAATTGTAAATGATCATCTTTGGCAAATAACAAATCTATGCCGGACGAGGGTGCTTGTCCTTACACACTATCTGGCCAATTGATGAATCTAAAATAAAACCTTTATTCAGATCTATATAAAATGTATGCTGAGCTGCAATTAATGCCTATTGGAGTGGCATGTACTGCGCACAACAGTATGACTGGATACCAAAGCAGACCTTCACACAGAAACACTTTAAAATGATGTAATCCTCCCCACTCCTCAAGCTGATCATGCATTGATCAGTTTTTTTTTTTTTTTTTTGACCCACCAGTGGGCTGATTGAGAAAAACTGAATGGATTCCCCATCCACACAGTTGAGGTAAATGGTGGAATCTACCCTGCTGCACTAGTCTATTCTGATGATGTGGACTCCTCCGCTGTCGGAATACACCAAGTGGGCAATTGGTAAAAATTTAGCAAAAAGATACCCACACACACACACGTTTCCTTCTTAGAATAAAGGCGGGCATAGATGGATCAAAATTCAGCTGGTTTAGCAAGGACTGGTCGAATTCCGATCCATCTATGGCCAGGTTTAAAGTGATATTAAAGGCAAAGAAAATGTCATACTTACCTACTTTACGAAGTGGTTTTGTACAGAGCAGCCCTAGCCTTCTCTCGCCCCCCCCCCCCCCCCCCCCGCAGGCACATCTGGCCCCTCCCGCCTGCCAAGTGCCCCCAGAGCAAACTGCTTCCATTCACAGCCACGGCTCGGCCCCATCCCCTCTTTCCTCATTGGCTCACTGGCTGTGATTGACAGCAGTGGAAGGCAGTGGCTCCTGCTTCTGTTTCAGCCAATAAGGAGGAAGGGTCCTCAGAAAGCCGAGGCTCTTGAGGGGGGTGGGGGGGGGGGTGGGGGATTATTTTTTTTTTTTTTTTTTCAGCTTCCCTGCTCCAGCCTCCATTTACCCCTAGTTGATAACAATGTGCAATCTGCTCCTGGAATATCCATGTCCCATATCCCAGTAGGCATATGGTTCTACTCCATGCTGGAAGAAGGACCTGGTGCTGTCTATAGGGGGCCGGCTACAAGAAATGGAAAGACAGCCAACCCCAGATGATGTAATGAAGGAAGATGGCAGTGTGGGACCAAGTGTGAAGTAGTAGAGCAGCAGATCACACCAGAACAATGTTGGATTTGTTGGACATCTGAGAATATTTATTTAGGGCCCATCCACACTAAAGGAATTCATAATGCCTTTTCACACGAGCAGTCCAATCAGGTCCCCCTGTCTGTTTTTCAGGCAGACCCAATCGGACCCTCCATTTCCTCTAGGAAGCAGCGGATGTTAATGTCCATTTACATCCACCTACCTCCAGTCTGATTCGGCAAAAACAAAAGGAAGGGAATCCGTTCCCCTCCATATGGGCAGATCAAATCGAAGGGCAGGTTAATTTGGTAATTCTGCCCATAGAGCAGAATGGACTATGCAGAGCGGACACGGACCTGTCATCCACCCACTCATCTCAGCAGGGAATCTGTGGACCTGCTAATAAAAAAAATCTGGTCCATTTGAAAGGGGCCTTAGTGTATATTAATGCACATTATGGTGCTTTTTAACATGCATTGCATTAAGGCAACCCACCACAGTGGCCAGAAAAATTTGCATGACCCATTTGTTTTTTACATCGCACATAATGCACAGTATATGCGTTGTAGTGCATTCTGCTCTATTGTACATAGAGCAGATGCTTTGCCACGCATGGTGGTGACATGTGTTTTGTGTTTTTAGCACGCGTAGCTGCAATGCATAAGTGTGAATGGGCCCTGGGGATAACCCTGGGAAAAAATGTTAAATGGGGGAGAAGTCCCTCTTTAAGACAACTCCAACAAACTGTGCAAAATTAAAAACATTTTTCGCCTTTAGTTACACTTTAAGCAGATTGAGGGGGAGGGTAATAACCCGTCAGTTGTGTGTGTGTTTTTCCCATCTGTATTCCATTGGGGAGATTTCCCTTCACTTCCTGTCCCATACCCAAAACAGGAAGTGAGAGGGAATCCTGGTATGTCATGAGGATTACCACAACTAGTGGCCCAATGGAAAATTTCCCCTCTTAGTGTTTTTAATGTCAACCCAAAATATGAGATTTGCTTTTACTTTCAATGATAATGGTAAACAGGACAAATAAGGTGAATCTCACTAATTGGGACACAGACAGCCATAATAACTGACAGTTCTAATCCATCTCCACTCTTTCCAAAATTTAAAAAAAAAAAAAAAAATGTGTCTTTAGTTACATGTTAATGCATACCTGGAATATAAATACAGGAACTGAGCTGAGAAAATCTTTGTAATTCTGTTCAGCTATTCCTGTAGTTCACACACCTCTGCCAGACAGCTCAGCCATGTGATTGACACCACTAATGTGTACCCGAAAATCTGTCTGCTCTGCTCCTCAAGATGGAATATGGCAAATGTCAGCTCTCCGTTCCATGCAGTTGGGTGAATATTTGCTCATTGTTTTGGCTAGAACTCTTCAAACTCTTGTTAGAATCCATTAACCAGCACAGTAATTGGTAAGGGACGGCTCCCAAGACTGCTTCTAATGTAAATTACGTTCCGTCTGAACATCGGGAGGCTGTGGATTACTCCCTTGTGAAAAGGCCAACACTGTGCGTGACTTGTACATCAGTTTACTTGTTACTTGATGATCTTGGACATGTATTAATGGGAGGGAAGGAGGGTGAGATGCCAGCGATGTTCCAATACTTCCTCTGGCATTGAAGATGTAGTCTTAGACAGTGTCTAATTTGTCTGTGAAAACCGGGGGATGATGTACTAAAGGGCGGTAGCAGATGACTTGTTCATTTTCACGTTTCTAGGACATCATGTTAGGGATTTTAGGCCTGGGAATAAATGTGTTTTTTTTTTTTTTTTTCCTGTCCTGTGCTGTGCCATAGGCACGTCACCTATATGAATGTGGACCTGAGCTCAAAAAGTGAAGCTTTGCTGTGTTATAGAGAACATCTAGAAATGTAAATTGTGCCTCAGAAAAATGTTCCTTTTTTATTGAATTCCTGAAAAATAGCAGTTCACGGCCTGGTATGTTAGCGTGCCTAGGCACTTCTGTGCTTAAAGTGTTACTAAACCCCGGACCCTGCATTCACTATATCTGGTCTCCCACAGTACACACAACATGAAAGGGACATTATTTTAGTAAATATAAACTGCTAAATACTTTCATCAGCAGTTAGAACAGTCTTGTGACTTCAGCTGAGCACTGATTAAAGCTTTCAGGAGGAGTTTTCTTCTGCTCTAGGAGGATGCAGAACCCCTGACCTCTGTCTGGACAATGCTGTTTGGCCATGTGCTGATCACATGCACTCTCCCAAGAAAAAAAAAAAACCTCTAGCAATAGAAACTAAACTGAGCATGTGCATGTGGCTACGGATTCAGTCTGTTATCAGGTGGACATTTGCACAAGAGGAGGAGCACAGAAAACAGGACCAAACAGCTTTTTTACACAATGCAGAGGATTAACCCCTTAGGTTCCATAGTGAGTATAACAAGCATGCTTTACTGCAGATACAGACTGATTTTACTGTTGTGGGTTTAGTAACACTTTAAGCCCTACTAGCTGTATATCTGCAATGTGAAATCTGTGGCACTGCTGCCGCTGTTTGCTAGCCTCAGGAGACAAACAATAGTCCTACTACCGCTAGGGACCCCACTACCAATCTCCTGCAGCCACTTCCCCAAGTCTCTGCCCTGAGAACAAATAGTCCATGAATAAACAGACTGTCAAAGTAGCGCTGCTATTCATGGGGATTTAGTATTCTATTAGGAAAATGCAACCGTGGTAAACCGAGCATGGCAGGTCAGCAATGGGGAAAAGATCTGCTGCAGGAAAACCACAGGCAATACTGATGACTAGTCCTTTACCCTTTTTTTTTTTTTTTTTCTTTTTCCTGATACATCCTTTAAAGTTCAGTTTTTCTTGAAGCAACCTTCATACTCATCATCTGGAACCAGTGCAGGATTTACCTTCTCAGATGATACATTCTGCTCAACTGGGTATCTACATTGGGGTGAGGGTTCCTACACACATTGCATTGTGATAGCAACACCCCATCGTACATGGTCTTTGTTTGGATCCTTGCACCTGCTCCTGCATCAACTTTTGACATGCAGCTGTGTCTGTGCAGTCAGTGCATCTGCATCCTCTTCTATAGGCTGCAAGGCAGATGTAGACCTAGAAAACAATGACTCAGCATGCAGGATCGGTGTACGCGCCCCTCTGGATGAGCCCAAAGCTGAATTTCTTTTAAAGTGACCCTGTCATGAGGGAAGCATGATGGCTGCAATTCCTTGTCTGCTTCTGAAAATGCTAGGTGCCTGGCTGTGTCTGAATTGCAGGCCCAGAACAAGCATCAACCTGGCAGCCAGGAAACTAGCATTGCCAAAGAATAGTTCATTAATGGCAGCCTCTGTGATCCTCTTCTGGTAGTGGGATTAATTCTTTAAAAAATATTGCATGCGATATTTAGATCATGTGACTGTCAATTCATTATTGTTTATGTGGTGTATATAATGCAAAAAATAACAAATGTGCAGTAAACACTGCATAAAATGATTCATTACGAAATAAAGGTCAACTCATTAAAAAATACATTCATTATCTTGTGGTCTAACCACTCGCTGTTTAGCAAACATTAAAGCAGAACTACACTACATCTAAGCAACACAAGGCAAAAATGTGATTTCATTTATTTTTTACAATCAAAGCAAACTCCTCCATCCATCCATGTCTCTATGGTTTATTTGCTGAGAAAATCATTTTGAACCCCCCCTAGCATTTCTGTCTGTGGCTATCTGTAAGGGCAGATGATTCATGTAGCTTTCTGAAATTCATTTGCCCTTAGCTCAGGCATACAAGCAGGAGGGTGTGCTTAGCTGAAAAAACCGCTCCTCCCCCCAGAATATTCCTAGGATGAATGACATAATTTGGCTAGGCAAGAAACCAGGAAGTAACTGAAGAAATTAAAAAAAACAAATTGTTTAAAACAAGTAAATATGATATACTTTCCTGTCTATTTACTAGTGCTAGTAGTATAAGGATTAAAAATAATTCAATGTTGATTGAAAGAGAGAGAGAGAAGTTCCACTGTAACCTCATTGCGCTGGCTGCACGCAAATGTGCTGCCTCCCGGCGTCTGGGCCTTGACGCCGAGCGGCCGCACATTTGCGTGCAATTAAGAAAAACGTGCTGAGAGCGCACGCCCTCGCGCTCCCAGCACACATGTCCGGTACTCACCAAAAGGTCCCGATCTCCTCTTTCGATCAGGACCTTTCCCGATCATGTGATGGCGGTCACATGACCCTAAAACACTGCCTCCCGGATTCTGAAACTCTTAAAGGGCCGGGAGGCGCTGGCACCAAGGGGTTAAGCAGTTGTATTCCTACCCCTTCTAAATGTGACTATTCCAGCTCAGGTTTTTTTCTTTTTTTTGTGCGCTGTGTTCCAATTTCCTGTTAGAGGGTGGCTAAGTCTGTTCTCCATGGTCCTATTGTATGTATGAATGTAGCCACCCTGTCTTACTCACCCCCGAGATGGACTACGGGATTTGCGTTGTACATAGAACAGCGCACATGACCGCAACTAACATGCACTGCTCATTCCAAACAAATGGAAGTGAGTGAGACAGACATTGTACTAATAACCTCTATTTTCCAAGCCGTATCAGCACTTTTCTGTTTCAGCCATTTTGAGGGGTGACTAGATATTCATGTGCAGTCTAATAAGCTCTAGTATTCACCCCAGTGCACTTAGTAATCAGTTCTCCGTTTAAAAAAAAAAACCCCGCTGGTCTGACCTGAAACACCACCAATCTTTCTTTGTGAGGATGCTTGTGCTGAGAGGTGTGGCTGTTAGTCAGCTCTGCCAGCACAGAGCACTGGAGGGGGCAGCAAGCAGCATTCACACTGAGAAATATTTTTAAGGTATAAAAATGTCTGATCCTTCAGTCAGGCTTTACTTTCAAATTCCCAGTGTTCCATGTAAGAGGTGCCGAGGCTTTAGATCACATGATCCGCCTTTGTATTAGCAGCACTTGTACATGTGCGAGAGCTACTACATCTTGTGAAATCCGCTGCTGTTGTGACTTGCGTTATTCTTTGAGACATAGATGTCTTGTTTCTCTGGTGACTGATAAATAGCAGGCAATGGAAGACTTGCATACATGATTTAGTTCCTCAGTTGCTCCCTATTGACTGTTTTTTTTTCAGCATGATGTAACCAGCTTTTGGCAGTTAGAGAGACTTGGTTTTGTGTGATATAACAAAACCTGAACTCTGCAAACTGTGCCACTAAGAGACAGGGCAGATGCCAAAGGCCTAGTCATTGGTATTACCTGTAGGCTCCCTGCAGTTGAATTTTTTCCCAGGACTGACTTACCATTTCTTATGCACTTTTATTCAATGGGGGGTGGCCTTCTTGGCTGAGGAATATGGGGGTTCAGAAGCGCTGAGGGGTTGCAGAAACCAGCTGATGAAGCCTGCTTTGTTTAACCCAGGAACATTTCTTTTAGATCTTCAACCATTTAAGCTTTTTGAGTCCAGTACTTCTCTGGAGCCCTGATGAAGGGTGGCCCTCCAGCCCCTGAAAACGTGTTGATTTGCCTTGATATTTATGTTTAAATAAACACTCCTGGCTATTAGTGTGACAGTCTCTTTTAAACCCCTTACATTAATATACTTCCAGGGTACTTTTCATTTGCAGTGGGCAGATATGGGCTGCTGTAGAATGGCTTTGCAATGTCATTGGACAGCCTTGTGTTCTTCTGGGCTAGACCTGACCTGATATGAGGCTGCTTGTTGCCTGAGATGACATCCTTGCTGGCAAGTTTTACAACACAAAAGGAGGTTCCTTTTTACTGCAAGTCTGCTTACAAATCACAGGTGTAGTGTAGCTTTTTAATTAGGTAGCCATAGAGAGAGAGAAAAAAAAAAAAAAAACTATACTGTAGTATCCTGGCCTTTCATGAACATCCAGGTAAAACCAAACTCTTCTAACAAAATAAATAAACGGTCTCCTGCAGGTTAGTGCCATAATGTGCTAGTATGCATTGCATTCTAGCATATTATGACAGACTTGACTTGACCTTCAAGCAGAGCCCTCAGTCACTTTTCCCGTCACTTTTCCCGTCGCTTCCATCATCACCTGGTCTTCCTTCCGGGTGTGCACTCTCCGGCTGTTTGAAGTTCTGGGCTGCAATGACGGTATTCCCTTGCATGCTCATGGGAGTGACCACCACAGCATGGCTCTCTGTATTCATGGCACACGCAGTGTGGCTGGAGCCAATGTCGATATCTACTAAATGGTGCAAGTTCTAACCATTTCCAAGGCACCTACAGATCAGACTTTTGATATGCTTACTTGTTGGGCCAAGGTGAACATTTGACTTTACTACGGCTTCAAGCTCAGTTATCACCTGGTGCTGGAGAGGGTGGTTTATTTTAGGCCAGGGGGCTAGGCAGGAAGGACAAGTGTGCTTTTCTATTAAGGGATTCTTGAAGTCCATACCCTTTCAGTGCAGTAGGACAATTTATACAGTTGTGTTCAAATGTTTGCATACCCTTGGAGAATTGGTAATGTACAGTATGTGCCATTTTTAAAGAAAACACGAGTGAGCAGGCAAAACACATTTCTTTTATTTCTGATGGGATTCATATTCAACTGTTGGTTATAACAGATTGGCACAATCGTAAAACAAAAAATGACAACAAGTAAACTAATGAAATGACCCCTGTTCAAAAGTGTGCATACCCTTAGTTCTTAATACTGTGTATTGCCCCCTTTAGCATCAATGACATTGTGCAGTCTCTTGTCATAGTTGTATGAGGCCCCAGAATTCTTGCCGGTGGTATAGCTGGCCATTCGGCTTGGCAAAATGCCTCCAGGTTATGCAAAGTCTTTGGTCGTCTTGCATGAATCGCACATTTGAGATCTCCTCAGACTGGCTTGACAATATTAAGGTCAGGAGACTGTGATGGCCACTGCAGAACCTTCGCTTTTTTCTGCTGTAACCACTGGAAGGTCAACGTGGCCTTGTACTTGTGGTCATTGTCATGCTGGAAAGTCAAAGAGCACCTCATGCGCAGCTTTCATGCAGAAGAATGCAAATTGTCTTCCAGTATTTTCTGATAACATGCTTCATTCACCTTGCTATCAATTTTCACAAGATTCCCCGTGCCTTTAGAGCTCACCCCCCCCCCCCCCCCCCCCCCGAAAACATCAGTGAGCCACCACCATGCTTCTGAATGGGGATGGTATTCATGTCGCTATAGGCATTGTGGCCCCTCTCCAAATATAGCGCTTATGGTTGTGACCATGATGCTTTATATTGGTCTCGTGCCTCCAGATTACAGTGTGCTAGAAGCTGTGAGGCTTGTCAAGGTGTTGTCAGGCATATTGTAACAGTGCTTTTTTTTTTTTTGTGACATTGGCACAGTAA